ATTGGACATACCTCCGCCCTCCTCCGCCAGCTCGACCCGATTCCCGTTAAAAATGTTTTAGCACCGGGATCTCATCTGGGAAGTCTTTCTGGTCTGCCCGCACAGCCCCACAGTTGCGCGTCCGACACGAGACATAAAGCGACGGCGATGAGGGGATCTCATGTGACATCTGTGTCTATGCAACAGTCGGATTCAGAGATTGCCTTGCAAGCATATCTAGCGGCCTAGCACGCATCACTCTGCGTGGGATATATCAAGGTCCTTGGATTCTGCGGTTGACTTCAACGAGCCAGATGTGTTGATGTCTGCAAGAAGTTTCGCACAAGAATTGGAAACGAAGTGACGAGCTGGCGCGATGTGCGAAGGCGCTTTTTGCTGACCCAAACGAACTGGACTGGCCGGTCTGCCGCGACTTGGAGCGCAGCTTTGCAGCACCTTGCACAAACTGCGACACCTTGCAACGCAAGCGCGGGCAATTTTGTTCAACTGCAGGCTGGGGCGTCTTCGTGGTGCCACCATTTGGACAGGACACACAGGGGCGGTGACCCGAAGTTCGCAGTGTGAAAGTTCAGCGGCGAGGATATCGCCACTTGGTCTTCTGGCATCCCACCTCTCCACCTGACGCGGATGGAAGCCGAAGCCACTCAAGCGGCTGTGTTGCCGATGCTCCTCACAGAGGACCATGGTGACACCCTTGGGGTGGCATGACGACATGTGTGGTCGTGCATGCTGCTTGGATGCAGGAGCAGGTGCATCAATTGGATACTCTGGGCTCCAAGCTGTTGATGCAAGATTCTGCAGATGCTGGAGATGAGGGCGGGGTGGACATCTTCGCTCACTCGGAGGAGTCCGGCTGACAACACATCGTGTTGTTGTCATGTTGTATTCATGCCCTGACCGTCCCCACACCCAGAGGTGAGTTTCCACAAAGCCGCGGAGGCAGCCCTCCACCGACTTGGCCAGCACCGTGTGCTGTACCTGCATAGTGAGGAGGCGAAGCGACTTCCGAGCTCCATGCTCTTTCGAGCTTTGGGACCCCGTTTCGGGCTCTGTCATGCACTCGCAAGGCAACACTTTCTCATCCAATTCGATGTGGCTGCAGGTGACTGCACAGTTGAGCAACGACGAGCGCACCTTCCTGCAATTGCTCGAGAAGACAATCACTGCGCGCATGAGGCCAGGTTCCAGGCCTGGGCCTGCGAGTCTGCGACGAAACTCGGCGTTGCCAGGGCAGAAGATTCCTACCGTCCTGAGCTTAGCTCTCAGTTCCTTGGTCTCCACTCCCTCTGGCCTGGGCCAAGAGGCACGCGCTAACCAACTGGTCATACTGGAAGGGGCCCAGGCAACGGTTCATGGCTTTCGGCTTTTTCGATCCTCCATAATAGTAAGCTCGGTTTGCCGGTTCAACAAACTCGTGGCACAGGCTTCGCCCCAAGGCTATCTCTACTGTTATTTTGAGTGGCTGCACACTTTTCTTTTTAGCGTGATTTTTAGCATGCTGCCAAGGCTGGGGGCTGCTGGGGCGACGTGCTGTCGCCCTTCGGAGCATGGAGTGGCCTGCCTCGTTGAGTAGCACACTTGTGTGCGAAGTAACAATCGCAACGGCGCAGATGCCTTAGCACTCTGGTCCAAGCTCGGCGCTTAAGCTTTCTCTTTTGCCTTCCTTGTGCCTTCGGCGAT